GCGGATGCTAACTTCATTTTTAACTGATATCATGTAGTCCTTTTCTAATGACTTTTGTTTTACCAGGGAAATAGGAAATGAACTCTTCAGCTGAGAGTGAGTAGGGTTTGAAGGAATGGAGATTTTGAGAGAGCAGAGATGTGAAATAGATTTTTAGAAGAATGTGAGAATACATAGACTATAAATACACAGTAGAAATGTCAAACAGCACTAAGGACTTTCTAAGTCATGTGTTGAAATTAAAAATAGNACTATATGGAGATAAGCTCTTGGTTGTCATTAGTCACACGAAAAATTGCCCAGAAGCAAAGAAACAGAAAGCTTACAGGATTTTGAGAGCATTACCACAACAACTACCTAAAACATGGCTGTCTACACATGTACATGGGCCTGTGCATGTGACTGTACCTATCTTTGAATAATCAATCCCCAGGCCCCCAAAACTGTAGTCTATGAAGTACCCTGTGTAACCTCTGAAGTTCACAGAAAGACATCATCCTCAATCCTCATTTCAAAATGAGTCACGGAGGGTAATGAATGATGAAGAAATGACTGGTTAATGACGAAGAGGTGCACGCACACAGGCGGACCAGAAAGTGGAGGTCTTGTTCTACGACCAGATTTTTATCACTGTCCTGAGCCAGTGTCCGGTATGTGTTTTCTGTTCTCTTTCTGACTGGGAAGGTTTTGCGTGTATATGTACCTGTATGTGACTGTGTGTGTGTGTGTGTGAGAGAGAGAGAGAGAGAGATTTTCCTCTGCATTTTCAACTTCTGTATTCTGAGTATGATGGGACTAGATATATTGTTTTGCAGGTTGTATGTTTCATTTCCTCAGAAACACAACACGCAGATGAGATGGAGAGGACGACACAACATCTAGAGACCTCAGACTTTGAATCAAGATTTCGAAAAACAGAAGACTGACGCAGAGAATAATGAGTTGCCTGTCCAACATTATTTTTCCCCATCTTCTCTAGGCACTGAATCACTGTTATGATGACTGCCCTGTGCCCAGCCTCCCACAAGGATGGAGAGATGATAAACTTTAAGTAAAGGAAGTGAGTTCGTTTTTTGCAAATACCTTTAAAGGGAGTTGACTTGGCTACAGATGCGTACTTTTTCATTTCCATTTCCATTTCCATTCCCTTTCCCTTCTGTCTGGAATTCAGAAGTCATGATTGGAGGTCCTGTAGTCACTGGTGCTGGAGAGTCAAACTTAATGACAGAAGCCACTCATTAAGAATAGGACAACATGGGCCGGCCCATGGCTCACTCGGGAGAGTGCGGTGCTGATAACACCAAGGCCCCGGGTTCGGATCCCATATAGGGATGGCTGGTTCGCTCACTGGCTGAGCGTGGTGCTGACAACACCAAGACAAGGGTTAAGATCACCTTACCAGTCATCTTTAAAAAAAAAAAAAAAAAAGAATAGGACAACAGAAAAGTAAAAGAAGTAAGATTCTGTGATCACTAGTGAGCTGCCATGGCATGTCTGGACTTTGTGCTCACAGAATTTATGTGAGTTGAAAACTAAAAGGAAAGGAAGAAAGAAAAAGAAAAAAAAACAAAAAACCTCTGTTTCAGTGACAGTTTTGAGAAGTCTCTGATCGCGGATGCTAACTTCATTTTTAACTGATATCATGTAGTCCTTTTCTAATGACTTTTGTTTT